CTATGAGTCACAGGCAACTTGACGGCACATAACAACAACAACATCAAATTATAATAATTACAGGTACATTGCAATATTCATAAAAAGGAAAATACTCCTTTCAAAAGCATGGCTTTTCACAGATATTTGTATGGTTTTTAGGACTTTATTCATAGACAAATTAAAAAATAAAATTATATGGTACATTTTATTGTTCAATCTGATTTTTCAATCTGATTTTTCACTCTCACAAATATACTGTTGATGTACACAAACATTTTCAACTATTTTCTAAAGGTTGCAGGGAATCTCGGTTCATTTATTCATTTGTCTATTGATTGTATTTGGTTGGATTAAATTTATATAAGCAATTATTCTTTTTTATTTTTTAAGAAAGTATCATGTACAGATGCAAGGTGCACGTCATTAAAACCATAGTCTTTTTAATCACTTTCATTTGAGAGATAGACAAGGAATCAAAATGATAGAAGAAAATTCATGCCTTTGAACTATCGTGTTGGAGAAGAGTGCTAAATATTACATGGACTGTCAAAAGAACAAGTATTTCTTGGAGAAAGAGCAGCCAAAGTGCTCCTTGGAGGCAGATGAAAAGCTTCACCTCACATACTCTGGGCTGTTGCCTCCTAGGAGAAGATATTTCTTGGAGAAGGACATCATGGTTGGAAAGGTGGAGGGATGGAAAAGGAGAAGAAGACCTCAACCAAGTGGATTAACGCAGTGCCTGCAGTAATGGGATTGAGCGTGTAAGAGCTTGTGAGGATGGTGCAGGACGGAACAGGGTTCACATCTGTTGTTCATGGGTTCACTATGATTTGTATTAATTTGATGGCATCTAACAGCAACACCAACTCTAAAGAGAAGTTTCAAGTTGAGATAAGAAGACAGTCTCTTTGGCTGTTTGGAGAAGTCTTTGACATTAGATTTTCCCGACGCAACACGCCTTTTGACTTCTTGACTGCAGCTGCCATGGGTGTTGAATGAGGATTCAAGTAAAAGGAAATTAGGAAATTGTTCAATACTTTTCCCATCTATCATGGTCTGTTGATGTTGTTGTTAGGTGCTCGTAAGTGTGACTCATAGTGACCCAATGAATAACGGATCAAAACCCTGTTCTATCCTGTATTATCCTCACACTTCCTGACACAGTCGAGGCCACTGCTGTAGTCATCATGTCAATTCACTCGATCTTCCACTCCTTCACCATCCTTCCACATTCTAAACATGATGTCTCCAATGAATAATCTCTCCTAGCAATCTGCCCAAAGTATGTGAGATAAAGCTTTACCAAGTTTGCCTCCAAGCAGTGCTCTGGCTGCACCTCCCTCAAGACATATCTGTTTGTTCTTTTGGCAGTCCATGGGATGTTTGTTGTTGTTATGTGCCATCGAGTCACTTGTGACTCATAGCGACCCTATGTACAATAGCCCTAAACTCCGCTCTGTCCTGTGCC